GGCGCCAGTCCGCTCCCCACACCCCAGCTCTCAGTGGGGAGGAGAGCAGAGTGATGGAGCCAGTTCAGAGAGGGGGGTTATTAGGAGGCCATGATTAACCACATTATTTGCTAAATGAGACACACAAGATTCTCCTTAAGCTCTCTTACAGCTGAGGACACGAGACCTTCACTTCTGTAAGGTCACCTCAGAGCCTGATTAGAAGGGCTACGCATCTAGGCAGCTAATTAAGTAATTAGACCAATCACGTTACTGAAATCTCAGTAGGACGCTGGGGCTCCCCCAGGACAGAGGTGTTTGACCCCCCCCGATGTAGATTCTTCTGTTCCTTCATGAAGATAGTGTGGGGAAGAGAGGGGAAAAAAAGCAAACACAATGCTTGGGTGAGCAGCCAGATGTGTGTAATTTCAGTCCAGGGTGGCAGTGCTTGAACTTTGCAAAGTTTCTTCAGTCTGGAACTGAGGGGGTTTGATCCAGGTGGGTGAGACCCTAAAAGGTATAGATTGCCCCCTCAATAGCGAGAAGGCAAACTATAAGGCAGGGCTTTAAGGCCCGGGCGCAGCTTTACACAAAGAGTTGCCAGTGTCTGTAGCAGGATTCCCAAGTGGGGGGGTTCGGGAAATTGGAGGTTTCGTTGCTACCGCACCAAACGAGCGAACGGACTACAGGGCCTCCTCTCCTCTACAGACCCTCTTGCTGCTTGAGAAATCAGAAGCGAGATGTGGAATACCGCGGTCAATGCCGCCCTCTAGTGGCGAGTCCGCTCAATTCCTCACCAGGCCGGCCACTATGCGAGTGAGGGAGCCCCCTGGTGGTAATACCGGTGTAGAGCAGGAGAACTGTCGGGAAACCGCGCGCGTTGAGGGCTGGCTGGCTTCCCGCGTGCCTTTCAATTAGCAAACTGATTAAGACCGGAAATCACAGGTGGGCTGCTTCAAATAATGAACGCAATTAAGCAATTAAGATCAAAGCTGGAATGAAAACCCGAGGCCCTGCCTGGATGCTATATAAGCACTTTATGCACCAAACCCCCCCTCCCCAAGCACACATGGACACCCCCCCCCACCAACACGCATCATTGCTGGGCTGCTATGAGCTCCGAATCAGAAAAGCAGTGCAGGTACATTGCAGCTGATACATCTGTTCCTGGGTGACGATCTTTGCGTTTTCCGCGAGAGGGCCTAGTGTGGAGTGAAGAGATATGATGGAATATAATTGATAATAAT